ACAAGAGGAGGTCAAGTGAACAACAAGAGGTGGGCAGTGTTGTTCACATGCATGTCTACCAGGGCCATCCACATTGAGGTTGTGGAAACAATGACTGCCTCAAGCTTCATCAATGCTCTCCGGAGATTCTTTTCACTCCGTGGACCAGCCAAGCAACTCAGGTCCGACAGAGGGACCAACTTTATTGGCGCCTGTAATGAGCTGAAACTATCACCACAGGATGCCAATAACACAATCAAAGACTATCTGACAGAACAGAGGTGCACCTGGGAGTTCAACCCGCCCCATGCGTCCCACATGGGTGGGACTTGGGAAAGAATGATTGGGGTTTCTCGCCGCATTCTAGATGCTCTACTCCTAGATGTGAAGCGACCTCAGCTCACCCACGAAGTCTTGGTGACCTTCATGGCAGAGGTCACAGCTATTGTTAATGCCAGACCCCTTGTGCCGATTTCGACAGACCCTGAAGCTCCACTGGTCTTAACTCCAGCTATGCTTCTTACTCAGAAAACAGGAGCTCCCCCTACAGCTCCAAACAACCTGACCAAGAAGGACGTCTTCAAGAGCCAATGGAAGAGAGTTCAAATACTAGCCAACAACTTTTGGACAAGATGGCGGAAAGAATATCTCTGCACCCTTCAAGGTCGTCAAAAGTGGCTTGTAAAGAAAACAAATCTCAAGGAAGGAGATGTTGTCCTCCTGAAGGACTCCACTGCAAAGCGCAACGAGTGGCCCATGGGACTTGTTGAGAAGACATACCCCAGCAGGGACGGGCTTGTGCGAAAAGTGGATGTAAAAGTTGCAAGACATCAGGATGTAAAGACATTCAGCCGACCAATCTCGGAACTGATTCTTCTAGTGACGCCTAGTAATGTGGACATTTGATTTAGTGGCATCTCTTAAAGACGCCAGGCGGGGAGTGTAATGGAACTTGTTTAACTTAATGTTATTCAATGTTTAGTTCATTTACTGAGGCCACCTAGTGGCAAATGTTATAATTGTGTGTATTGCTAGTTCACAAACGCCATCTTGTGGTCACTTTTATTACTACAATTACTACAACTTGTTTACCAGAAAGGAAGAAAGCCTGTTCATCCATCTGCTCTGAAAGAAGCAGTTTTTGTTGTGTTTTCTTTAATCTAAGTGCAAAACGGCATCGTCTGTAAGTACTGTTCTAATTTGCCTGTCATATTAATCATAATTCATAACCTGTTGACATGTTTTATGTGAAGATAGACATTTTTACTTGTATTAGCCCACTGTTAGCTTAGCTGGCATTCATTTTCTGTATCTTTGTGTATTACAGTTTTACACGATTCTCATTAAACCCTGCTAAAGAACCTAATGCAGTGCTTCTTGGTGGACGAATGGGAAAGTGTTTAGCTACCTGTATAGCTGAGTTACTGCTGAAGGCCACAGTGCTTAGCGAGGCCAGGACACACTTCCTTAGGACATCATTACTGGAGCTGAAAAGGTACGTGGCCTGCTACTTTTTCTAAACTATTGTGGTAAAAGTGAAGATAATTGGAAAACACAAGTATAATTTGTATGAGAGATATATCAAGTTTTAAAATTGTCCTTTTTATGGGGGGTGGGTGGGAATGGTTGTGGGGGGTTAAATATTTTTTCAGTCAGGCTTTGGTGTTTTCACTTCTAATACTGCTTTGTCTGAAATGGGAGGCTGATGCCTATCTCCAACAGTCTATGGGTAAAAGGAAAGTTTATTCTGTCCATTGCCGGGCAACACAATTTATGCCTATTAATTGTGTTATTGAGATAATAAATCAAAAAATTGATTAGAAAATATAACCAGTTGTTCAACATTTGATTTGAGGCCCCAGGTTTACAACAGATAAAAAAGCCTAATAGTACAAAAAGAAATCCTTAAAAAAAACTATATGAAAACTTTATAAATAATTTTTGGACAAATGACATACAGTTTGGACCGATACCTCACAGGTGGAAAATATCCATTTGAATCTTAGGGTTCTGTCACACCTTACCAATTTAGCCATCATATGCCTGACGTTCCAGAATCTCCTAAAACGCTGCCATATGCTGAACTTTCTATGTATGTTTGAGTCCAGAACTTATGTCCAATGACAGCCTAACTTTGGCATAACGCATGGCAATGTAATGCATGGGCATTAAGCATTACGCAGCATCAGTTAAAGCTGCTCCCCTCAGCAGCAGCAATGCCCCCGGAGGCGCTCTGTCTGCATAAAAAGATGTCTTTGATCGCTGCATTAACTTAGCTGCTGTTTACCAACTGCCCCCAAAAAAGAACAAATAAAAAGAAAAAAGACAAAGAAAGAAACAAGTTTTGCAAATTCAGCATAATGTCTACTAGGAAGTTTGTTGGCTTTGGGTGTGAACGCAGGGAGGATCCATCACATTCACCCTCACCCTATGATGGGGATGAAGTCTGGAGGAGAACTGACCGTTTCCTCCTGTGAACCCGCTTTTGCACCAAAACGCCAATATACAGTAGCTGGAAGTTAGAAAAACATCGATATGCATTGGAGACAAGTTCTTAATAAGTTACACAGAAGTTACGCACAAGTTACTTATAGGTTTTGGATAAGCTAGACGCCACAACGTTAGAGTAACTTACACTTAACTTACCTACCTGTAACTTATGCCCCACGTATGGCATACACTGGTACAGGATGTACTTGTCATGTTTCAACGTCTGCCAGTGTGTTCCAGCATACTTCAGAGTGCTCATAACTTATATGAAAATGTACCGATGATTTATCCAACATATGTCAGCGTTTTTGACAGATTTTTTGTATGTTAGGCATACGTTGGTCTAAATCGTTAAAGGTGTGACAGGAGCTTAGGTATTTACTGTAGAGGTGTGTGCTGGAACAGGTTACAGTATAAATAAAGAAAATGTTTCTTTAGTCAATTAGTGCTTATTATTAATACAGATATTTTCAACTGATAAAATTAAGACTTAAGCTTTTTTGTGTCCTTGCTCACATTGCAGTTCACTCTAAGCCACAAAGTGCCAAGAGACAAGATCTTGCTGTTCTTTTTGACATATCTTACAGAGAACTCCTAGGTAAGTAAATCTAATGACTGAAACTACATTCATTTGATTTGGAATTCCCTAAAACTAATTAACTTTACAGGGACCTGTCCAGAAGCATCTAAGGCAAGGGACCTACCAGAGATTCCCTAAGACACTACAAGGGAGCCCAAAGAGAGTAGCCATCTCCTTCAGGAGCAGCCCAGGTTAACCAAGATGGCATTCTTTAGATTGCTGACATTAAGACCCGTTATGTTGTTAAAAACTTGAAAATGACACTAAGCGCTTACACGTGATTTGTCTGTTAGTCACAAAAAGAAAATCCCCCTAAAAATCACCTGACAATTTCATTGTCATCCTCACAGTTTGTAAGAAAATGTATTATAATGCTATAATTCTTTCACATTGCAGGACAGTAAAAACCAGTGACTTGGAGGAGCATCACCTGGATAAAGGCTTCCTCACACCCCACCCACTCCTACCAGCTAACGTGGTTACATTATATTTTCTCTAAGTGTCTTTATTGCCACCTGCTAATTGTAAACAGTTTTTAAATTACTCTCACTGTTGTCAGAAATATAATGGCAAAAAAAAATTGCAGAGATATTAAACCTGGACGAAATGTACTCAATATTAATGAAAATGACGTTAGGTCTGCTTCGGTGAAATTTGATGAATCTTTAAAATTCTCAGGAAATGATGTTGAAAAGGTTTATGAAAATTTCAGGGAGTCTTTTAGTTCATTATTTGATAGGCATGCACCTACTGAAAATTACGAACAGAACTGTCGGTTCAGTCCTAAGATGATCAAAACAGGTGAAGGCCAAATATCAGATCCAAAACAAATCTGTGAAGCTTTTAATAAGTATTCTGTAAATACAGATAATCTGTTTAATGAAACCTCTAGAGGACCGCTTGAACCAACGGATCAAGTTGATGTCTGGGAAACACAGTCTTGTTTCAAGTTAAAAAAATTTACTGTAACAGAAGTTATCATAGCAATGGAAGAAAGGAAATTTACTAGAGCCCTTGGTGCAGAAGATCTTGAACCTTATTTTTTAGAACTTGCCTTAAAAAATACAGCAGTAGCAAAGCACATTACAGATATTTTTAACCTTTCAATTTCGACTGGAACCATTCCTAATGTCTGGAAGACAGCTTATGTGAATCCTTTGTATAAAGATGGTGAAAAACAGGATCTAAATAATTACAGGCCAATCTCTAAATTGTCATGCTTAGCAAAAACTCTAGAAAAACTGGTAAAAAAACAGCTAATGGAGTTTCTTACAGCAAACTCCATCTTATGTGATTTCCAGTCTGCATATAGAGAAAAGCACAGCAATATTACAGCTGCTACAGCTGTTGTATATGATATTATTGCTGGTTTGGACAAAAATGGAAACTGTGCAGCTCTTTTTATTGACCTCTCAAAAGCTTTTGATACCGTAGATCATGCTATACTTCTCAGAAAACTTCATGCTACTGGATTTCGAGGAAATACTTATAAGTGGTTTGAGAACTATCTCAAAAACAGACAACAGTGTGTTTCTATCGCTAATGTTCAATCAGAATTCCTGACAGTTGAAAAAGGTGTTCCTCAAGGCTCAATCTTAGGTCCATTATTGTTTAATATTTACATGAAAGACATTGCCTTTTCTATGCAGTGTCAAGACTGCAAATTTCACATGTTTGCTGATGATACTGTTCTGTACTGCAGCGCAAGTGACCTAAATACTATTTCCAAAACACTTCAGCAATGGTTTAGTGATTTAGAAAAGGATTTAAAAAAAAATCAACTAGTTCTCAATGCAAAAAAAACGAAATACATGATTTTTACATTAGACGAAAGGGCAGATAAAGAATTTGATCTCTTCAGTATTGATGGTACAAAGATTGAAAGAGTCAGAGAATACAAGTATCTGGGACTATGGATCGATGAAAGGCTTAGTTTTAACCTGCATGTAACAAAACTGAAAAGTGATTTGGAAGAAAGGCTACGTACTTGCAGGCCTAAAGAAAGAAAGGAAAATAAAATATACTATGTTAGGTCAAATGTTATGACAAAATTTTACAAGTGTGACATTTTGTACATGCATGCTGAACCTGGGATACTTAAAGAGTTGGATGGTGTTTATCATTCTGCTTTAAAATATATCAACAGGAATGGAGATGATGCTGATCATCATAGGCTGTATCGTGAAATGGGACTCCTTTGCCCCAATTTGATGCGCAAGGGCCACTTGTTACTAGATATATTCAAAGCTCTGAAAGGGGAGAAACCCCCTTACATTACATCAATGCTTGTCATTCAAAGAGAACAGCCAGCTGGTTGTGTTTGGCTAGAGGAGCCAGAGTCCTCTACTAATATTGGAGAAACCAGATTTAGCTGCTTTGGGCCCAAAACCTGGAATAAAATGCAGAAAATTAAAACACTAAATACCTCTGATTCTTTCTGGAAAGCCAAGTCTCTGATTTTGTCATATTTGACCTCCACCTGTTCTTGTCCTTGTCGGAAATTGAAACATCCTAAGTGGGGACTCTAGGGTGTTATTTCCTTTTTTTTTTTTTGTAATACAGAAATATAGGAGTTAAAACTAGAATATAGATTTTAAATTATGACAAAGGGTTAAAGTTGGTTGAAAAACATTAATGTAGATGCGTTTTTATTGCTGTTTTGTTTGTCTTTTAGAATGGTAAAATGATAGAAAAATCCAGTTTACATAATACAAAAATCTCCTACTCTACCATCTTGACTAACTCTGTATTTTCTATTTTTACATTGGGAAATCATGCAATGTTTTTCAGGTAATGCTCGTTTGGATTTTAAGTGAGATTTTTGATATTAGTTTTAACTTTCATGTAATAAACTTTTAAATTCTTAAATATGATGTAAAGTTTTAAGATGCACTAGTAGTTATAAATATGAAAGCCAGTAATGTAGTCTCTATTCATCGTCTGACATGGGAGCTGGCTCAGAGCTGGTCTGCCTGGCTGTGTGTTTCCTGGA